GAACACATGCGGTTTGCGCCTGGTGGGACAAGCAGCAATGGGAAACAACCTGAACAAAGGCAGACAATGCACAGACAAAGGACTGGTGAGATTCTCCCACCCCAGGGAATTTCACCTGCCCTTTGTCTGTGCTTTGTCTGTGCATTGTCTGCCTTTGTCAACTTTGTTGCCCTTTGCTGTTTCTCCCACCAGGTGTGAGCCACATGTGTTGAGGGCATATATGATCGGCATGTGGCAACCTTTACCTTAGTCTCAACTCTGTCAAAGGATTCATTGTCTGATTGATGGCACCTCCGAAGCACATGCCTCAGACGCACCCGGAATCCAGGTGCGTCGGCTTTTGCCCCCGGTGTAAATTCTACAAAGAGATGTGACTGTGACCGTCCTCTTCGAGTTTGTCATAATCAACCGCAGGCATTGGGCTATAAAAGCTGAGTAATTTTCCTTTGTGAAACTTTGCGATGATTAATACAGGTACGCTTTGTAACTAGGTTCGCGATTGGCTTGCCGAGACGGGTAAAGCAGGGCGTAAATTTGGTTACAACCATCAAACCTCCCCTTTCGACATGTCGGGAAACTCATTCACACTCAATAGGACAGCGGAGCAAGTTGTGGACGCCTTTTCACGCGAGATTGCAGGCAAGAATGGTATGTCGTCGAATAGCTAGCTAACTTGTTCAATGTCGCCCGCTTACACCCTAGTAGTTTTAATCGCTGGAACATCCCTCGGTGGGATTGGATTCGAGACTGCACGCGCAATATCCAAGTACGCGAACTTGGTGATTATCACTGGGTACAGCTCTGACAGGTGTGTGTGTTCGGATTGGGTTTCGTTGTCGCTCATCTGAAATGGCTTCCAGGTTGCAGCTCTCCGAAGATGCGATCAGGAAGGACGTCCCTTCCGCGAACATTCGTAAACTCATCCTCGATCTCCCCTCTTTGGCCGCCGTCCGCATTGCTGCCGCAGAAGTCAATGCGTACCCAGAACCGCTCCATGTACGCTTTTTTTCTGATTTTTTGCCATTCTGTTGCTGGAATCACCACAGGTCTTGATCAACAATGCCGCCGCGCCTATCGCCCCATTCAAAGTGACCGTGGACAACCTCGAAAAGCAAATGGCGACACGACATGTCGGGCCGTTCCTCTTTACAAATCTTCTGGCGCCGAAGCTCATCGCCTCCGCTACCGCGAGCTACACTCCCAGAGTCGTCTTCGTATCCAGCCTTTCGCACGCCTTCGACAACGGGGTCGATTTCGCCACCCTCGCGCAGCCCGACCCTTCGAAATATGCCACGATGCTCAACCCGTACAACGAAACCAAGAGCGCCAATGTCCTCACCGCGATTGAGCTCTCTAGGCGGTCGCATGGGAAGCTCAACGGCTACAGTCTGCACCCCGGAAGTAAGTGTTTTCCCGATTACTATACTCATACGCCTGACTTGCTGCCCCAGCAATCGAAACGAATATTCAGCACAAGCCGGAGAGCGAAGACGCTTTCAAGGCCTATGGTATGTTTCCCGATTGCATGTATGGTGGTGTCGGCTTCGATATCCATCCAGGTGTCCTGGATGCCCAAATCCCAATTTCCCGTGGAAGACTATACCTGAGGGTGCTGCAACGTATTTAACATCCCAAGTTATTATCTCCACTCGACATTCTAACCGGTTATCAGCACCGTGGTAGCGGCCTTTGATCCAAGCCTCTCAGGTTGGTGGTACAGTCTCCCATCTTGTTGCCGACTCACAATTCGAGCCTCAGATAAACCCGGAGCGTACTTGGACGACTGCAAAGACGCAAGTGATAAAATCGCACCCCACTCCTCTGATCCTGTAAGTTATTAAACTGACGCGGCGTGAACACTCCCTTGATAAATTCAATTGTTCAGGCAAACGCTTCGAAGCTTTGGGCCGCCACTGAGAAAGTCATTGGACAGTCCTTCGAGTTTTGACAGAGCGCTGAAGCTTTGGCTGGAAACCGAAGGAATCTGAGACCAACACGATCATATATGTATACATAACCGTCCTCGAATAACTGCAATAAATGTGATCTTGATTCTAACAGAATATTTCCCGAGATGAATCCGTGGGGCGTACGGTGTGGCCGCGCGGGAAGTGCGCCGCGCGCTCGTATGGCGTGAATGCAAACTGCATGGCGGAGTAAGCAAGGCGATGACGGGCGGGGAGGACGCAGACGTGCCTCGGACAGGGTAGGATTCGGCGGGGGCGAGCGGACGGCGGGTGGCGAAGGGCTCGGGCTCGCGGGTGATTGGGTGCGGCGCGGGGAGTGCGGGGCTTCCGGTGGCGGCGGCGATCGTCGGACAGCGACGGGGTCGTTCTGCTGTGGCGGCGGCATGGCGTTCCCTTGCGGAGGTGGCGGTGGCGGAGCGCGTGGCGGTTCCATCCTGCATTTCGCATCGGGGCGGGATCGCATTTCTTCTTGCTTTCAAGTTGTTGGGGTGCGCACAGTCCATTCGTCATTCTTATCTCACTCACCTAGCCTGGCGCAGCTATGGACAAGGAAGCCGTCGTGGACCAAGGAGATCGTTCTCGAACCGTCAGGACCTTTCCTCCTAGTAAGAGAAATCCGGGGTTCGACTCCCCTCGACGGCATGGGACGGTCGGTCAAACGTTTTGCGATGTCTGTCTCTTTCGCTGACCCCGCTCATTTATCTAGACAGCAGAAATGCTCCTCTCACCGGCAGCGGATTTCCTCTTGCTGCTGGTGCACTTATCCCTCTACCTTTATGTTCACTTAACCCCGTGCAATTACAGCATACAACGCCGTCGTAGACCACGAGGGTCCTGCTCAAACTGTCATGGAAGGATGTAGCGAGAAGTAAGAGAAATACGGGGGTTCGACTCCCCCGGGCGGCATAATTCGGCGGGTTTTCTTTGCTCTTTTTTTTTTACCGGACTGTCTCTTTTACTCCCGGTACTACACCCATATACCCACTGTCAAACCCAAGGACAGCTGAACCGCAGAAACGCGCTACGACGATTCTCACACCGGCACTCTGGTGCAACGCCTGTCTTGATATATCCAGCAGGGGTCGCGGTACGCCCGTACGTCTCTCCCCTTTCTATTTCACTTCCCTCGACACATTTAAAGGATACGAAGCCGTCGTGGACCGCGGTGGGCGTTCTCAAACTGTACAGCAGATGTTTTTAAAGTCAGAGAAAGAGGGGGTTCGACTCCCCCCGACGGCATTGGAAGAATGGAAAGGGTTTCTTTTGGCTATGTCCCTCGCTGTGCACTGCATCGATCTTTCTTCCTCAAAGTTAGCTTCAATCTTCTGCTGAAGCGATTCGGACTCTGGGTGGATAACACTCTGCTGTAGAATTCCCAGGGCGTAGACGTCCCACTTCGATTGTACGATCAGTCTGGGGTGGGTTCAATTCCATTCTATGACTCCCAGTCGCGATGGCGTCCGAGTTGACTGTTTATGCGAAGGGATTCGACTGTGAGACCTTGTGGGTATTTGAAGCCTAAGCTTGAATTTTGATTGGATGGAATCGAGTTGGAACTCGACCCACCGCAATCGATTCCCTATCCAATAGCTACAATCGCAATAGAATGTCTGGTCCGCGAGACATAGGCTGTGCACAGGACGGCCTAGACCGGGCTTGACCAGCGGATGCGGATGTAAATTGTCTCACCCCCTATTTTCACAGATCATATAAATTGCGGGTCGAAGCAGAGAAATATCAACACATAAGCGCCCCACCCAAGAATATTAAAAGTGCGTGTCTGATTGTCTGCTACTATTCATTAGCTAACGCGTCCTTCAAGAATCATCCCCACACAAACCCACCGACAGTTCACAAATTCAAACAGGTCAGTACGTCTCTGGTTTTCTACTGTCCTCCATTCGCTAACGCCTCTTCAAGCATGTGCGACGCTCAAATGCCGACGTTTGAGTCACCCGCATCGATGCTCCCATCGTCCTCGACGTCGAGTCGTTTGCCGAGCGCGCGGCGCACACTCCGCGAGCGCTGTGGCTTCACGCTCCAGCTGTCGACCCGACTCCCGCCCCCGCCACGCACGCTCCGCGACCGCTGCGGCTTCGCCCTCCAGTTGGTCTTCACCCCGGCCTTCCCCACCATCACCGCGCAGGGCGTAATCGGGCCCACCCGGACGGAATACTTTGCGTGAGGTATTCCGGGGTACGGATGTGGTTGAGTTTTGATGATGGCATCCCGCGTGAAGGTAGTGTCTTGTGAGCCCTTTTCATCCTCATGCAGTGTATTTATTTCTGATACGTCCACTTCCAGTCGGTGGACATATACAAAGCCCAAACCGACGCTGGGGAGCGGCCAATTTGGAGGGAGGGACGTCATGTTGTATTTATCTTACCCACTGTATTGCATTCCGCGTACCTTATTCACAATTACAAGCACAACTCGTGGCTTGAGACTTGGCTGCGACATCACCAGTCGGGGAGTTGACACATGCAATGTGAGCTTCATTTTCTCTCTACGCAAGTCAATCATGATAATAGGCCGATTTTCCCTGGGCGAAAGGCGTCGCGGCCACGATACCGTATTTAATTGACTTGTTTGGATAGACGAGAAGTCGGATCACCCTGCAAATACGCTGGATGTCAGCTGCGAACTCAGCTCAGCAGATTCAGGGACAGATAAAATCGCGCCTTAGCCAACTCACAAACATCTATATCCAGACAGTTATGACAAAAGGAGTCATGATCTCCGTATGCCGTCGGGGGGAATCGAACCTCCACTTTCCACTTTACTCTTTGAACTTCTACCTTACCTCGTCTGGGCGACCTGCCTTGGTCCACGACGGCGTATTGGATCCGTATTGAATATGATGGAGTGCGCATTGCTCGTTTCCGATAGGTGACGCTAGCCCTAGATGGCTCAGCCAGATAGATGCGAGCAGCAAAATCCAGGCAATGAGCAGTCCGGGAAAGGGAATGGCTTACTTCCAAGGCGCGGAAGTTTTCAAGTATCTTGAAAAATAAAGCAGTAGTGAGCGCCGCATGCCGCCGGGAGGATTCGAACCTCCGTCTCCCTCTTGATAGCCTAAGCTTTGACTCGAAATGAGAAGAAAGCGACCTTCGTGGTCCACGGCGGCATAGTTACCTTGTAAGGTTCCTCGATAGGTCAGCGTCTAAGAGAATCGGAGTCCACAGCGGGCGCAGGGGAGGGCGTGCACAAAAATCATGACTAATTATAGTCCTACTTTTGTGATGAGGGGAGGCGCGCACCTGGCGCACAAAGGGACGAGTGACGCGCAGAGATTCGAGCTATAGCGCACGGACTCGAGAAGCAGCAGCGCCGCCGTGGCGAGGAGGCACAGGGATTCGGAGCTGGGGCGTGCGGGGATTCAGGAAGGATCACGCCCTCCTTTAGGGCGGGGGTAGGGCTCCATCCGTGGCCCGTGTGTCCATCTGCAGGGCGGCGATGAAGCGAAGAGGGAGTGGTAAGCTGCGCTCGGGAGCGCGAGGGCGGTACACAGCAGCACGCCCTGAGGAAACTGATATCTTGGCAGCACACCCGCGCTCACGCCTCCGCAGCGCATCCACTTGCGGGGGTGCGCCTGCAGTATGTAAAGGAGCTGAACGCTAATGAACCTGGGTATGGCGAGGGTGGGTTGTCCAGCAGCGGCGCGGAGATCCAGCACATGCGGGCAGACCTCGCGGAAAGGACAGTACGCGCGCGCTGCAGGCAATGGTGATGCACACGTACGAAGAATGTTGTGCCCGTGTCTGTGGGCGCGCACGGACAAGAAATGTACAGGCCTTCAAGACTGCAGGAGCGCGGTGGAGCTGCGTGCGTAAATGCCTTCCATTCCCTTTGTATACGCTCTACGCCTCGTCCACTCCGTCAAATAAACACCCCGGCATCGGGCGCTTCATAGGCGCTTACCTCTTGCAAGTGGGTAAGAGTGGGTGAGCCTATGTGAGTGGGATACGGAGCGCGGGGTAGCATTCGGCACCGGAGGTGTTGACAACGACATTCCAGAGGAAGGGAGGGGAGGGAACGAGTGTGGAGGAGTGGCGTCATCAAGGCGCGACTCAGAGAGATACGGTAACGAAAGGAAAAGTGGAAGATGCACGTGACATCTGGGGCCGGGCTGACAAACGACCACGGTCCACCTTGAATTGCCTTCTACGCCCGTGTCCCATGCCTCCCGCCAAAATTCCACTGGGCTCGTCCAATAAGCGCTCAATTTGCTCTACACTCCTGCCCGGCTCTACCACCCGTGGATCTCAGATTGAGAGGCTCTGGTCTTCAATCTCTTCCTGGGGATCATTATCTCTCTTGAGTCTCGAGTCTCTTGCCTGGAATACTATTATAATATTACTACGCCGTCTTGGACCGCGGCGGTCACTCTCACAGTGTGGACTGGTGCGTAACTGGATAGCATACGAGACGAAAGACGGGAGTTCGACTCCTCCCGACGGCATGGATGCGTCTGCAGCGTGCTTTCTCACTCTAAGTATTCTCGACTCTGCTTCACCATTGACGAGTACCACGCGCCTCTGCCTTGGGAATATCTCACCCGCAGGAATGCGCCCGCGATTCTCGCCGTCCCAATCCCAATCCTACTCTGCCTCCGTCCTGTACCACCGCCGGTCTTTATGCGCTCGTCAGTAATATGTGCGTCTCTTCCCTTCAATCCTTATCTAACCTAATTGGCAATTACTAGTGGAAAGCTGTCGTGGACCGCGGCGGTCCTTCTCTGTTAGGGTGGCTGTTTCAAAAGTCAGAGGAAGACGCGGGTTCGACTCCCCCCGACGGCATGCATGGCTTCAACGGCGTTTTTGCCCAGGTTTCCTGATAATCTGATGAACTCTGCATTGATCTGTGTACTGCGCGCCTCCATGTCCTGCCTTGGCAATACCCGATCCCCAGGAATGCGCCCGCGATTCTCGCCAGCCCAATCCCACTCCGCCTCCCCCGGTACACCGCCGTGTTTTAACGTCTTTATCGTCCGTCCGCAAATGAGCTCGTCTCGTCTCTTCATTCCCCGCCTAACCTACCCAGCCCATTTACATACTAGAAAGCCGTCGTGTACCGCGGCGGTCCTTCTGAACATGCCAGTATTGAGTAACCGCCACCTAAGAGAAAGCAGGGGCTTCGACTCCTCCCGACGGCATGGATGGTCTGGGATGTTTTTGGGTGATCTCTCTCGCTTTTTGTCTGTGCGACTCATCTATCTGACCTGCAGATCCGTGCGCAATTATCACAACTGGGGGCCGCGACCCGTACCGAATTTAATTTATCCTGGCTCGATTTCTCCGTTCACTGTCTCTGACTTCCCCCAGTGCACTTACAGACTAGGAGGCGGTCGTGGACCACTTTTTCACAGATACGTGCAAGAGAAAGACGGGGGGTGCGACTCCTCCCGACTGCCTTTCACCGACGTTTTTGCCCGAGTTTTCTGATCAACTGGTAAACTCTGCATTCGTGTTTATTCCCTGTCCTGCCAGTAACTGAACCGTAGGATTTGCCCGCGATTCTCTCCCAATCCCACCCCCATGTCGGAAAAATCTTAAATTGCACGCAACGACTCCGAATATGTTGGGAGCCGCCGCAAGGTCGTGTGGATTTAAGCGGCTTGCAGTGCACATGTCAGGTTCTTGAAACCAATTGCAAGCCACGCTCCCAGTCACAAGCCGTCTCAAGGTTCTGCGTGCCAAATGGTCTTGGGACACGTCTCAAGGCGTCTAAAGTGACCGCTCAATTCCCAAGCCAATGCCAGTCGCTACCATTCTACCTAGCTCACATTTGATCCGACACACATATAGATAAATGAAATGATATAATACTAGCAGTGTGCCCGTGCTACGCTACGGGGAATCTCAATGTGCTCGAGTTTCAAAATCTTAAAATCGACAGGACTCAGAACTTGTAATAAGAATTAAGGTTTCAGTGACAATTATGTGATACATTTAGTGTCTAGTTGAACGCCGGCCAGTGGATGTTCCTTCGCCTTTATCGGCTTCTTCGTTCGCACGGTCATCCGCCGTCTTGCGCTTCTTGGGGTTCGGCTCTCCCGACTTGGTGTCTGGCTTCTGACTTCCGAAGAAGCCCGTGAATTTAAGGCGCGCAGGAGTGCCGGTGTTGACTGTAAAGGCCCTCAGCTCGAGGCACAAAATAAAGTAAAATGTAGGTGTACCCAATTTGGTCGGACTTTCCTTGGCCTTGGGCGCGGCAGAAGCTGGGCCGAGGAATGTAACTTTCTCGAGATCGACAATGAAGTATTTGACGGTACGATCTTCATTGCGCTCGACGCCGGTCAGGAGCCCTTCAATGGCAGTGGCCTTGCCCTTTGTCGGGAGCGGCTTATATTTCTCCCAGCGCTTCGTGTCGGGGAAAAGGCAGCGCACGGGGAAGACATTATCAACTGTTTTGGTGGCGGAGACATACTGGGTTGCATGGATTTCAAATGTTAAGTCATCCTCGTTGACATTGGTCGCAAAGCCGACGACGTGAACGACGGCATGGTGGCGCATGTCAAAGTTCTCGGGTGACCCAAGGGGAATAATCTGAGGTGGCCATGTTAGCATATTATTTGAACCGACAGAGTGAAGAACACACCCAAACTATGTCTCCAAATGCGTGATAATCAACAGGAGTGAGCTCTTGCGAGTAAACTTCGATGGTGGGCAAGGTTCGCGCGGGCTGAGGAGGTATTAGTTAAAACACTGGCGGTGCAATGTGATCACGTACCTGGATAACTACGCTGTAGGAGCCAACCTCCGGAAATTCGAGATTGTCACTATTGAAGTACCGGAGTGATGTGATTAACACGGGCTCTGAAGATCCTAGATAGATCTGAGCGTCGAGAACAATGGATTTCGTTTTCGGAATAAGCCGAGGATTCTCGAGGACAGCGAAAGCGATAAGGGAGGCAGCAGACGACATGATGTGAGTTGATAGGTGAGTAGTGGGTAGTGAGGACCAGTAAACAACACAGCTGCCTTTATAGACTCTGGGGAGGGTACATCAGTGGAGATAGGTGGAGATGGGTGGAGACGCGCCGAAAAAACCCTCATTTAAGCTCACAAAATAAGCAGGTTGAGGCTAAGCGTGGCCAGATTCAGTCATGTTACCGCTCCGTGTTTGAGGAAATCACATTACCGTGAAGTGGAGCGGTGGAGCGGTAGCGCCTCCGGGTAGCTCACCATCACAGATGATATCACTGGCTCCAAAGGATGACGCGAGTGTGGTACACCCGATGCCCAACAGCTCCAACGGCGGCTTCAGCGCACGACGCGGCGCAAGCTCTTAAAGGGCTAAAGTCAGCACTCACCAAGATACATACACCTATTCAATATGAGTGACAATCAACAGGTACGAAGTGGTAGAGATGTTTGAGGGTTGGCTAACCTCCCTTGCACATACAGAATGCATCAACCTCGGTCGTTTCATCGCCAACTTCGGTCCAAAGCTCTAGCTCCACGGACTTGCCGCAGGCGCGGCAGCTGCGGCATCCCAAAACTTTGACACCAGTATGTTGTCCAGTCGAATCTGTTGTTGGCCTCCTGCTGAATAGCACAAAGATTGTCGAGTCACAAAAGCGGGGTTCCGGCCATATTCACTTGTTGCGTTTTCCTGAAGTTCAACACGAAGATGATTAGCCGAATGGGTGTGTTTACGGTGAAACGGTTGCTCAGGGTCTAAGGCTGCAAGTGAAATATGAACAAAACCCAACTGTCGAACGAGTGAGACTGAACCAGACTCTACGAGAGAGACTAACTCAACTCAAACACTCAAACAATCAAATCCCAAACACTAAACACTCCTTGTATGCCCCTTAGGGTGACCTGACGAGAAAGACGGGTTTTCATAGACCTAGGGTTGTAGTATAGGTCTAAGGGAACTAGGCTTTGATAAATCAAGTAATTGGTTTGTATGGGAAGCTTATTCCGAAGGAAAGTCTTCAAATCAACAATACGACACACGCTCTTTGACGAGTCAAGGTTACAACGCTGATTGATTGTAAAGCTTCACAGCTATAGTGCAGATAACGGCGTGGATGGCCGGTAGGGTTTGGTTTGGACGTAAGTCCGCTTTGGAGACCAACAAGCCTCTGATACAACACGATACACAATACGCAATTCC